TTTATGTTGTGCTGAGGATCAAACCCTGTGCCTCACATGTGCTAGGCAGGTACTCTACTACTGAGCTACAGTCACAGCCTGAAATTATAGTTTTTTTAAATCAAATTTATAAAATGTCATTTATTATAAAGATAATAGGATGTTAACAAGTTTCCCCCCTCCTCCTCTTCAAATTATAAGTGACTATTATGTTGTCTCTATGGCATATATTTTTTTTCCACAGGGTATTTTCCTTAGATTTTATGTGTTTTAGAAAAAAAAAACTATTAATATGCCAATCTTTTTATCCTAGGTATTTATTACAATATCAGGAGCCAATTCCTTGTGAGCAGTTGGTTACTGCACTGTGTGATATCAAACAAGCTTATACACAGTTTGGAGGTACTGAACTTTTTAGAATTGTTATTCTGAAAATTTAAAACATTATAAGTAATAACCTTTTCAAGGTAGTAAAAGGAAATTGAAAATCATCAGTCCATAATTCCTGCATCTTGAGCAAGCCTGCTTCTACCATGTAGATTATATATTTTATTAATAATMTRTTGAAAGTCCAAAATAACATTTTCCAATTTGGAAACATTCTTTTTACATAATAATGAAATTCAGCACTGGTGTATGTCCTTACTTCCTCTCCTGGCTATGTCCAAATCCTAGAAACAAAAGTGGAATTTGTGATTGAGCTTATCTCTGATAGCCAGAACATGGAGCAGTTAATGAATGCTTAACTTCACAGAAAAGCATTCAGCCACATTCTCTGAGCTCTAGTAACTATAGTGATACCAAATTTAGATTGTTGATGTTTGGCTTTTTCTTCTTTGTTAAAGGAAAACGTCCCTTTGGTGTTTCGTTGCTGTACATTGGCTGGGATAAGCACTATGGTTTCCAACTCTATCAAAGTGATCCTAGTGGAAATTATGGGGGATGGAAAGCCACCTGCATTGGAAATAATAGCGCTGTGAGTATTTTTGTGGTGTGTAAAAGCTAGAAAAAGATCTAATAACTATCATAATTTTTGAAGTAAASATGAACAGTATTTTAAGATAGTTCCATACCACATCAAGGTTGTTATAGCTATCTATGATTTCTGTTGGTGACAAAGTTGCAGATACTGCTAATATATTGGAGTTTGTTGCCTTCATTTATAATTAAATGCTAGTTTTAAATTAAAATTTGTGAAAATAAAGATACATTATTTTTCATACCTTTATTCACTACCCTCTAAGTTCTAGGATGGACTCCTTTGTTAACGGAGGACCTAGATTAAAAATTCCCTTAGGGGAGCAAGGGATATAACTCGGTAGAGCACTTACCTACCATGTGTGAGGCCCTGAMTTTGATCCCCCCTWAAAAAAAAAAGAAAACTCCCTTGACAGAGCATCAGTATCCTCTCTTGTTACCCCATCTCAGGTCTACCCTTCCTGCCATCCAAATTGTTTATACTGGTTGTAGTGCCATTTAAAAGGCAGGCATTAAGCCGGGTGTGGTGGTATACACCTGTAGTCCCAGCACTTCAGAGGCTGAGCACATGGGATCACTTTAGGAGTTCGAGATCAGCCTAGGCAACACCTCAAAAAAATTTTGAGAYCCCCATCTCAAAAAAATAGTCAAACATTCTTCTAGACCAATCCATATTCCTAAAAAAAAAAGAAAAAACGTAAAAACTTAAAATTCTATATATTCTTGTTTTATAGGCAGCTGTGTCAATGTTGAAACAAGACTACAAAGAAGGAGAAATGACCTTGAAGTCAGCACTTGCTTTAGCTATCAAAGTGCTAAATAAGACCATGGATGTTAGTAAACTGTCTGCTGAAAAAGGTAACACATGTCCTCTTTCATTTGTCTGCTTGAGTGAGGGGAACTGATTGAGTAGCTGTTGGTRTTAGGCATTTTACCTGTTGCTTAATTCATAGAAGCAGCACCATTATAAGTTAGGTAGCTTTATACCTGTTTCCTAAACGAGGACACTGGGGTGCCATGACKAGGGTTAAGTGACTTGACAAAGATCAGAATGAGCATTGATAACTTTTGAAGCCATAATGCCACACTGCATGCTGGGCTTAATGACCTGAGCTAGAATGTTCCCAGTACTCATAATTCAGAGACCCTGCTCCATGCTAATTTAGTTAATAGTAATCATATCAAGACCTCTTGGTAGTGATATCTATGCTTCTGTGTGTGTATGTGATAAACTACATGTATTTCTACAGGGTTATGATATACTTTACGAGAGATAGAGCACTTGCATCAGTCRTGGTACCCTGTTGTATTTTTCTGGGTCTTTTAAACTCTTATGTTAAACTCATGTTAATAATTTCACTTTATTCAACTTAAGTTGTATGACATAAAAATTTTTCCCAAAATTGTGGTTAATTAACATTGATTTACTGTAGTACACTTAGCTCCCGGTGTTTCTTAGAAAATGCCATTATCTATAGACTGACGTCTGTTGTCATCTAATTTCAGAGAGGCCCTAGTCAATTTCCCCTACACAAATACTCTTTCCGCTATATGTATCAGTGTGTTTCCCTTGCCCAGAGCCATAGAAGCCGTTTTTCATACCGTTATTTTGAAAAGAGGTTTGAAAATTCCATAAAAAGTGTTATCATTGGTTGAAGATTCCAGCTTAGCATTCAGGGGTTCTAACAAGGTTCTTTCTGGTCAGCAAACTAATAGCAGGCCAGCTAGAATAGCTGTTTTTTTGTTGTTGGTATTTGTTTTGTTTTTGTTAGTTTGGCACCAGGGATGCTTAACCACTGAGACACATCCTCAGCCTTTTTTTTATATTTTATCTTGAGACAGGATCTTCGTAATTTGCTTAGGGGCTTGCTAAATGGTTGAGGCTGTCTTTGAACTCTCAATCCTCCTGCCTCAGCCTCTCAAGCCACTGGATGACTGTACTTTACTAAGGGAACAACATAATGGTTGCTAAAAAGTTGGGATGGGTTAAAAGAGGGAAGATGTTTAAGTAAAAATCGTGATTTTTATAAGACCAAAGGTATTTTCTTCCTGTAAAAGTATCCAGGAATCATTAACCATAAAACATGGTAAAGTAGTGAACTGAGGCTTACATATGTTAAGTTATTTGCTGAGTGTACCTGCCTCTGATACAAATGTTTGTGTTTRTGTTTGTTTTTTAGTGGAAATTGCCACACTTACAAGAGAGAATGGAAAGACGGTGATCAGAGTTCTCAAACAAAAGGAAGTGGAGCAGTTGATCAAAAAACATGAGGAAGAAGAAGCTAAAGCTGAGCGTGAGAAGAAAGAAAAAGAACAGAAAGAAAAGGACAAATAGAACCAGGGATTTTATAACCCATTTGGGGCACCATTTCAGTGTAAAGGCTGTTCTACTCTTCCACCTGAGAAGGCTTTTTCAAAAACTTGTGCAGGTGGGGAAATAGGACATTCCATACTGAATTGGGTCTTTGTCATTTCTGCTCAATTGAATACTTTGTTGTAATGATGATTATTCTTTATGGACATCTTAAATTTCACACTTTTTTTTGGAATAAAACTTGAAAAGAACGGAGATGGTGAAGGAAAAAGTTATCTGTAGCGATAATTGTTAAAAASAACAGGATTGATAAGGCTCTTACCTTCCTCAGGCTATGTACGCTGTGGTTTACATTCCTTTCACAAAGGTGRGGCATATCCCTTTATGCTGTCCATCATCTCTGTCTCCAGAGATGGGTTAGAGAATGAATGAGAGCGCTGAGCAAAGCCAGCACTGATGTATACACATGAAGAAAGAATGTATAGGATCCTGCAGTTAGGACTGCACAGAGTCATAGCCCAAGCCATATGGAAGATGGAATGGGAGAAATTAAAGCCACACAGGAAAAGTGGAACCAAGAGATAAGAACAGTTTTGTTTTGGCTGAAGGGAGTTCCATTGCTGGGCTTTGCTCAGCCCATTCACTTAAGTTTCTATGACTTGATACAAGTGATATAGAGTGGTCTTATTTCAAGTRTAATTCCTGGACAGACAGCTTCAGTGTCACCTAGAAATGCAAATTCTGACATCCWGACCTACTGAATTAAAGTGTCTGGGGGTGCATGGTAATCCATTTTAACAAACACATCATGTGATTCTTACATATACCTAAACTTAAAGTCCCCAGGGGTAATTCCATTGGCATCCTGGGTGAGAACCAGTTCAGTGAGCTTCCCTTTGCTCCATAGTGGTTACACTACCATGTATGGGCTTCCAGCCTAAAGGCTCCTAAGTGTATTTAGGGAGTAATAGTTGCAATTTKGGGGACTGGGGTTGTGGCTCAGTGGTAGAGCACTTGCCTAATGTGTATAAGGCACTGCATTCGATTCTCAGTACCACATAGAAATAAATGAATAAAATAAAAGTCTATCAATGTCAAAAAAAAAAAAGTAATTGCAGTTTTCTGCACAGTCTAAAAGGCATTTCTGAGCTCTTGGATGATCCACTTTTGAACTGTCTAAATTAATTCACTGTAATTTATATAGCTGATTCTCATTGTTCTTGAGAGTTATRTGTTCTATAAAATCACCACAGATGCTGAATTAACAAATACTGAACCGTTGTACCTAAGGGAAATATTGGGATAGGTTCTATAGCCACTGGTGACAGCATTTTCATCAGTTGATCAATTCATTCCTTTTTAATGTGTTTCTACTTAAGAYACCTTATTTGATACATACTGTTGATTCTTTAGCATAATTCCCTGCCAACAGCTATATCTGAACGTATTAATAAGGCATAGCACAGCCTTCATGTTCTTGGGAACACTCAATAATAGCACGATACGTGAGGACCATATTAAACTGTGAAATCACCAATAAAAGGCACAATAATGCAAAAAATATGGTACAAGAGAGACCGTCGGAACACTCATAAAAGTATGAGCTGAAACTAGAAGTGTTGCCTTATTAGACTCGKCTAGGAATGTATTCTTCAGGCTTCCCAGACTTTTTCACTAATCTGCATATGTCCACAAATGACTGCAAAAGCACTGCAAGTATTTCCAAGAGTAGGCAAATTCACAAATATATAATATATATATAATCTACAAATAAGGATCGGTTCTACATCTTTAAATGACCCTCAATCTTGTTGCACCTGGAATTAAAGGCAGATGGAAAAGTGAATCAATAAACCCTGTTGACCCCATTCTGGATAGCCAGAATCCAGCCATTTACCACTACGGGGACCAGGGATGATCTGGTCCAAGACACTATTGTCTCTCATTTGAACAATAGCAACAGCCTCCTAACTGGTCTCTCTACTTCCACTTCCTCTCCCATAATCAATTCTCAACAACAGCCAGAGGAATCCTTTCTAAATGTTAAAAATTGTGCTACTTCTGGGCTGGGGCTGTAGCTTAGTAGTAGAGTGCTCACCTCGCATGTGTGAGGCTCTGGGTTTGATCCTCAGCACCAAACATAAAAATAAAATAAAGGCATTACATCCATCTACAACTAAAAAAATATTAAAAAAAAAAAAAAAAAGATTGTGCTACTTCTCTGCCCAAAGCTCTCCAATGACTTCTTCACATCTTGTTCAGTAAATGTTAAATTCTTCAACTGGCTTRTGAGGCATCCTAGCTTCTGGCTCCACTGTCACCTTTCATATCAAGTGCTCCCTTCCTCACTATTCATCCAAATGAGTCTTCTGGTGRTCCTCGAACCCATCAAGCCCTTTTCATCACGTGACCTATGTACTTGCCAGTCCCTCTGCCTTAGGAAAGCCCTTCCCATGGGTTATATGTATTTTCCACACCCTCATCCCCTCTGGTCTCCACTTGAATGTAACCTTATCTGACTATTTCTCTAAAGAAACAATCTACTCCCCCATTCTCTGCCCCTTACCCTGATGAACTCTTCTCCAAGACACTGCAGAAGGACTTTGTTTTCATTCAGCAACTGTGTCCCAGTGGGAACAAAAACAGGAACATATTAGGCAACAAATAAACTSATGAATGATTAAATAGAGCCCCTTGATATGCTGGAGTGAAATCCTAAACACYACTTTTCCATCCAGGTCAGAACTTGTGGGTTTCTATATTCTGACCACACCTTCTGCATTCCTAAAGTTAGAACAATATCTTGAGTGCTACAGTAGATAAGASCCCAGAGTAGAAATAAGCCACACTAGAAATAAGTCTTCAAAGGCTAAGTTTGTAGCTCAGTGGTATAGTGCTTGCCTAGCACGAGTGAGGCACTGGGTGTGATCCTCAGCAGCACATAAAAATAAATAAATGAAAATAAAGGTATTGTGTCCATCTGCAGCTAAAAACAAAAATAAAATCTTCAATTTCCTAACAATGGACAATTTTCAATGTAGTCCCCCTTTTGTTTAGATAAATTCATACTAGAAAAATAGCAAAARGTAGCCTGGAGCAAAGGCTACTGAGTAACTTGTGGGATTTTTTCCTATTTTGGGGCTATCAGCTTAGCATAGAATCTCACCAGATCCCATTTTCCTCTACTCTGGGCATGCTTTTGGCCCAGATGGCAGGACCCTTTGTTTTCCAGGGTATTTTCTGACATATCCCAAATGTAGCCTTAGTGGGCTGGGGATATAGCTCAGTTGGTAGAGTGCCTGCCTCACATGCATAAGACCCTGCKTTCAATCCCCAGCACCACCAAAAAACAAAACAAACAAACAAACAAAAAAAAAAAAACAATGTATCCTTAGCAATCTTCATCCAAATGGGCCCTCCACCAACAGCAAGCATTTCATTCTCTGATCTGGGCAAAACTCAGTAGGTTTTCACAGAGACGCTACCAGCTTGGAAGCACCTTGATGTGAATAAGTAGGAAACCAAAGAGAGCTAGGTTTTAAATCTTGAGCTAAGTTTTAAAATCATGCTTTTAAAAATAAGCCATGTGGGGGAAAAATCACATTCCTGTGTATAATTTTACTTGTGGTAATTAGAAAATAAGTGAGGCTCTGGAATTTCTAGTCTAGCACTTTGAAAGTTCCTTGAAAGTATTTGTTGCAGCAATGCAAAAATATTCCAGACTCTGGGGGAAACAAAAACACCAAAATATAACCCGAAAGTAGATTCATTTCTTTGTTGAATACTTGGGTGTGTTCCTGGTCATTTTTGGTGATGAAGATATATGGTCGAGTAAAACATCTTCCGCTCTTAACCTCAAGTCTTGCAGGAATGGCAGTGCTGTAATCAACTGCTTAAWACTGCAGAGAAGTGCTAGACTCCAGGAGGCTGTGCACTGAAAGTTAGGGAGGAAAGGCAGAGGAGCTTCATGAACTAAAGCTTAGTGATGGGAAAGGTTCACATATTTATGGAAATCCTGCACAGAGCAAAGCTAAAGCATAGCTCCTTGGGAGAAGATGGGTAATGACAAGAGGTGAAGTTAGAAGGTGTGCCCGGCGAATGAGAAAAGCAGTTACTCTGACTTTGTTAAAAACAATGATTCTGTGAGTCTAGGCCAGGGGTTAGGTGGAAAGAGAGTCAGGGAAATGAATTAGGAGGCTACTGAAATAGGTGAGGAAGGATGAGGATCTAAAACAAGGGAAGCAGGAGGAGAAGCTGYCATGGAGTGAGAGATGAGAGGGAAAGATTAAAAGATGACTCGMAGCTTGACTTCAGACTAGTTATAATCTGATCTAAAAAAGCATTARGTAAACTTGATGAACTACATTTCCTAATGTCTATTATTGTTATAACCTGAACATAGGGAAGAACTCTGTAAACGATGTTGCATGTTACACATTGGGGTAAAACCATGTTGAAAGCTTACCCCTCCATTTTCTTCCAGATTTTGTTCATTTGTATTTTTTTCCATAAAATTGTTTTTTAAGTTATTAATAGGCCTTTATTTATTTATTTATTTATTTATTTATTTATTTATTTATAAGTGGTGCTGAGAATCGAATCCAGTGCCTCACACATGCCAGGCAAGTGCGCTACCACTGAGCCACAGTCCCAGCCCTCATTTGTATTCTTGTATTCACTGTTCATCTCCTTCACCCAATTTTCTATCACAGTATTTATTCAGCTTTTTCAAAATTAATTTATGAGTTCTTTTAAGGATAGCTCTTTGTCATCTATGTTACAAATGTTTTCCCATATTAGCATTTTTATTTTTATTTTGATGCTGATATAATGAAGGTTTTTTTCCCCCCAGTACTGAGGACTGAACCTAAGGCCTGTGCATGCTAGGCAAGTATTCTACCATTAAACTGCATCTATAGACCTTTGTATTTTATTTTGAGACAGGACCTCACTGAGTTGTTCAGGCTGAACTTGAACTTGTGATCCTCCTGCCTCAGACTCCCAAGTAGATGGAATTAGAAGAGTATACACTGTGCCCAACTGTTCATTTTTTTAAAGGCAATGTTTAAATTAATCACACAGCTTTAATTCTGTTCTTCAGAATACTTGGAAATTATTTATTCTTGAATGAATTCAAAATTACATGAAATAAGACATTTACCTTTCTTGTTTTCTTTCTGTTTCTCCCYATGCAGTGCTGGAAATCAAGCCTTGCACACATAAGGCAAACACACTACCACTGAGCTACATCCCCATCCCCAATTTTT